AAAAAAAAAAAAAGTAGAGACAGCAAAGAGGGAAGAAAGAGTAGACAAGGGGAGGGATGACCTATTAGGGAGGAAGGGTCGGGAATTGGCTGCAAAGAGGAGAATATTCTGGGGAGATGGAAATGCATCATAGCCCAAGAGTGATAAAGGTGCCGTATGTCTGACTATATTTGTAGAACTCCTCAAATGGTACATTTTCAGCTTGGCACCTATAGCACAATGACGATGGTGTCAGCCACATACACCTAGGCTGGCAGGTTTGAACTCAGCCCGGGCCAGCTAAACAATTACAACTGCAACAAAAAAATAGCCGGGCGTTGTGGCAGGTGCCTATAGTCTAAGAAGTCACCTTCAAGTCTGCACAGCTGAAACAGTTACGTTCTTAGGGATGGAAATATGCCATTGTTGGATGGATTCTAGGCCCCCCAAATGCTTGTAAACCATCTCTTGGAGAACATAGCCTTTAAAAGATAATGTGTTGGCTCAGCGCCTGTGGCTCAAGGGGCTAAGGCGCCAGCCACATACACTTGAGCTGCTGGGTTCAAATCCAGCCCGGGCCCGCTAAACAATGACGGCTGCAATCAAAAAATAGCCAGGCACTGTGGCAAGCGCCTGTAGTCCCAGCTACTTGGGAGGTGGAGGCAAGAGAATTCTTGAGCCTAGGAGTTGGGGGTTGCTGTGAGCTGTGATGCCACAGCATTCTACCCAGGGTGACAGATTGAGGCTCTGTCTCAAAAAAAAAAAAAAAAGATAATATGTTGGGTGGTGCCTGTGGATCAAAGGGGTAGGGTGCCAGTCACATATGCAGGAGGTGGCAGGTTCAAACACAGCCTCAGCCAAAAACTGCAAAAATAAAAAAATAAAATAAAATATAAAAGATAATGTGTTGTTAATGTATAAATTGCACTTTAGTCTATAATTTCGGAAAACCTGTCAATATTCCATTTTGAAAATATTATTTTCTGGGCAGTGCCTGTGGCTGAGTAGGGCGCCGGCCCCATATACTGAGGGTGGCGGGTTCAAACCCAGCCCCAGTGGAACTGCAATCAAAAAATAGTCAGGTGTTGTGACTGGCGCCTGTAGTCCCAGCTACTCGGGAGGCTGAGGCAAGAGAAGCACTTAAGCCCAGGAGTTGGAGGTTGCTGTGAGCTGTGATGCCATGGCATTCTACTGAGAGCAATAAAGTGAGACTCTGTCTCTACAAAAAAAAAAAAGAAAATATTATTTTCCCTTTCTGAAATAATAAGAATGAATAAATTCAGGCATTTTTCAAATCTGGGTTATGTCAGAAAAAGGCAAGGCTTAAAACAATCGTTTGGCCTATCTCCTATACAAGTAGGAGGTCTGCCTCATATGTCGGGGTGCCTTGCTCACAGGGATTTATTTACATGTATATAATCTTCTTTACCATGGTGACTATGCCATTATATTTAATATTCTTCTACTTTTTTTTTTTTTTAGAGGCTGTGATGTGGTGCCTGCTTGGCTGGAGCAGTGAGCAAGGCCAGCAAGGGAGCTGCTCACATGTGGATATCCTGAGTTTGCATCTCTTTTTCTTTTTCTTTCTTTTTGAGACAGAGCCTCAAGCTGTCCCCCTGGGTAGAGTGCTATAGCATCACAGCTCACAGCAACCTCCAACTCCTGGGCTCAAGCGAGTCCCCTCCCCCAGCCCCCCAAGTAGCTGGGACCACAGGCGCCTGCCACAACGCCTGGCTATTTTTTGGTTGCAGCCGTCATAGTTGTTTGGCAGGCCCTGGCTGGATTCGAACCCACCAGCTCAGGTGTCTGTGGCTGGCACCTTAGCCACTTGAGCCATAGGCACCATTTCTTTTAGAGACAGAGTCTCACTTTATAGCCCCCGGTAGAATGCTGCAGCGTCACAGCTCACAGCAACCTCCAACTCCTGGGCTTAGGTGATTCTCTTGCCTCAGCCTCCGGAGTAGCTGGGACTACAGGCACCCGCCACAATGCCCAGCTATTTTTTTGTTGCAGTTTGACCGGGGCTGGGTTTGAACCCACCACCCTAGGTATATGGGGCCAGCACCCTACTCAGTGAGCCACAGGCGCTACCTGATTTTCTTTTACTTATTAAAAGTAAAGCTCTATGCATAGTTAAAGAACATTTTAGCCTTAATTGATTACTATCAATTTCTGTTTCTTAGGTCATATTAATCTGTTAGGGATAAAGACAATCTTTTTGTACTAGATAAATAGTTGGTATAAATCAGATGCTTTGGCCTATGAGTTTTTTTTAAATATCAAAGGCAAGAGAATAGTAATAATCTCAACTATAGAAATACTGAGGTACCCAAAGTCATTTTGAGATTTAAAGGATTTGATAGTCTCCAGATGTAATAATTTCTCAGGCTAGCACAGGTTATATAAGTAAAATTTGACATCATTAACTGTTTTACTTCAGGTACTTCTGATTCTAGAAAAATCAGAAAATTTTTCTTTCTTTTTTTTTTAATAACTTTTTAAAAAAATTTTTTTGCAGTTTTTGGCTGGGTCTGGGTTTGAACCCACCACCTCTGGTATTTGGAGCCGGAGCTCTACTCCTTTGAGCCTTAGGTGCTGCCCCCCAAATTTTTCTTTCTTCTTTTTGTTTTGAGTAGAAAGAAACACTGAATTGAAAACCAAGGAACCTGATTTCTAATACTTGTCCTTGAGCAAATTTTATTCTACCCAGGCTATTAAAACATTTTGTCTATAATGAGGAAACCAAAAACCAATAAAGTCTATGTTATATTTGACAAACTCAGAAGTAAAATAAAAATTATATACCACTTTTCAGGCATGAAAATAAGCACCTTTATTATGCCTGCAATAAATTTAATGATTTTTTATATTTCCATTATTCTGTAATAATGGTAAGGGATTTTAATTTAAGAGAAGCAGATACAGTGTTAATCATAATCTGGCTGGGCAAGAGACTAACTGGGATCTTTGGAACCTTTGTTTAAACATCCATGCCAAATCCAAACATTCTGTCTGACTTGATTAAAGAAACAATAATCAGGTCAGTGAGGCAATTCAGTCAAGCCATGAAATTAGTCAAATATTTTTTATTGGCTTGAATGGATTAGTGATATCCTTTAATTCAGCCAGCAAATATTTTTTGAGGATAAATAATATGTCAAGCAATGTGCTGTGGACAAAAAGATGAAACAGATGTAATTCTTGCTTTCAATTCCCCACTATGAGTTATGTAGTAGATGAGTTAATTAATAAAGATTCACAGGCTGCATAATATTCCATGGTTTACATATACCACAACTTATGCAACCTTAAAAAAGGATGGAGACTTTACCTCTTTTATGTTTACATGGATGGAGAATATGTTTACATATTCTTAGTAAAGTATCTCAAGAATGGAAGAAAAAGTATCCAATGTACTCTATTATGAAACCAATATATAATCACCCACCCATAGTAGAGTATCCAATGTACTCTACTATGAAACCAATATATAATCACCCACACTTCCATATGAAAACTATAACCCAACTACAGCCCAAGATGAAGGGGAAATAGGAGGGAGAGGAGAAGGGAGGAAAGAAGATGGGTGGAGGGAGGGTAATTGGTCGGACCACACCTATGGTGCATTTTACAAGGGTACCTGTCAAATCTACTAAGTGTAGAGTATAAATGTCTTAACACAATAATTGAGAAAGTACAGTGAAGGCTATGTTAACCAGTTTGTTGTATTTCAAAATGCATATAAAACCAGCACATTGCACCCCATAAATGCATTATTGTACACAGCTATGACTTAATAAAAATAAATAAAGATTCACAGGGTTATAAATAAAAAAAATAAAAATAAATAGACGGGCGTTGTCACAGGGGCCAGTAGTCCTAGCTACTTGGGAGGCTGAGGCAAGAGAATTGCTTGAGCACACGTGTTTGAGGTTGCTGTGAGTTGTGATGGCACAGCACTCTACCAAGGATAGCATAAGTGAGACTCTGTCTCCAAAAAAAAAAAAGGTACGTTTTCTATGTTTAAAAGGATGCTTTATTTACTCTATGTAAATTAGACTTCCATAAACCTGACTTTAAGCAACAAGAAGTTCTCTGTGTGATGGCTTGTGTGCATGTGCTATACCAGGGACACTAGACTGGCGCCCTGGGAAAGAGCCCAGCCAGCTGGGGAGGAGGAGGGTGCATGGCGAAGCTGCTACAGGCTAGCTGTGGCCCCTTTTCAAATTTGTGTAAAGTCCTAGATGTGACTGTGTTTGAAGATAGGGTACTTCTTTCTTTCTTTTTTTTTTTAGACAGAGTTTTACTATGTCACCCTTGGTAGAGTCCCATGGCGTCACAGCTCATAGCAACCTCCAACTCTTGGGCTCAAGCGATTCTCTTGCCTCAGCCTCCCAAGTAGCTGGGATTACAGGCGCCCTCCACAACACCTGGCTATTTTTTGGTTGTAGCTGTTGTTTGGCAGCCCATAGTTGGATTCGAACCCACCAGCTCCGGTGTAAGTGGCTGGTGCCCTAGCCGCTGAGCCACAGGCACTGAGTCTTTTTCTTTCTTTTAGGCGATAGGACGTTGCTCTTTTGTCCAGGCTGGAATGCATTGGTATAATCACAGCTCACGCAATCTTCTTTTTTCCTCCTCCCTCAGCTTCCCAAAGGGCTAGGATTAGATATGAACCACTATGCCCACTTGGAGATAGGGTCTTTATAAAAGTTGCTGACAGTATACCTATAGTCCAAGCTGCTTAGGAGACTGATACAAGAGAACTGCCTGAGCCCAGGAGTTTAAGGCTGCAGTGAACTATGATGACACCACTACACTCCAGCCAAGCTAACACAGTAAGACCAAAAAAAGAACTATAAATAAAAACAAAAAGGGCTCAGCACCTATAGCTCAAGCGGCTAGGGTGCCAGCCACATACACCAGAGCTGGTGGGTTCAAATCCAGCTTGGGCCTGCCAAAGAATGACAACTACAACCAAAAAATAGCCAGGCACTGTGGCAGGCACCTATAGTCCCAGCTACTTGGGAAGCTGAGGCAAGAGAATATGAAGACATAGGGAGAAGGCGGCCATTTATAAACCAAGGACAGAGGCCTTGGAAAGACACCTTGACCTTGGACTTGAGTCTCCAGAAATGTGAGACAATAAATATGTGTTATCTAAGCTGCCAAGACAGTGCAGTTTCTCAAGGCACCCCAACAAACCAGTGCATAGCCAAAGATGGGCCAAAAAGAACTGATTAGTCAGCCAGCAGACAGGCCGCTGAGGCCTGCTTCAGAGTGAAGGCTGCTCACTACCCCCAAGGGCCTCACCAGGCTGAGGGCCTGCGACAGCTGCAGCATGGCCTCCTGGGCCTTCTGTCTGGAAAGCCGTAGCTTGCTCAGCGAGTGCTCATATGCATGCTGCCGTAGCCGCTCCGACAGGGAGCCCAGACGCAGGAAGTAGCTCTGCTCCTGCCGCTGCCTCTGCACTGACGCCATGTCGAAGCCCTCCAGGGATGTGGCGATGCGGGCTGCAGGGAAACAGGAGAGAATCTCTGTGAAAGCACAGCATGCCATCGCCAAAGGGGCTCACCTGATTCACACAGTTCCCAGCCCTCACCTATCTCCGTTCTGCTTACACATCCCAAAGACCCAGGAGCAAAAGGTCCCTGCCTTGGTTTTCCCATCTGCAAATTGGGAAGAAAGGAACTAAACCTCACAGGGCTTGGGGGCCTTAGATAGTAGTTTTAGGGTATCAAACGATGGCCCGTGGACCAGGCCTGCCTCCCCCCTGGTTTTGTAATGTAATATACACACTCATTACACAGTCACTGGTGAATAATAATGTCTTGGTCAGCAACAGACTGCATATATGACAATAGTCCCCTAAGATTATAATACCATATTTTTCCTGTACTTTTTCCATGTTTACATATGTTTAGATACACAAATACTTAGCACTGTGTTACAGCTGCCTATAGCATTCAGGACGGTAACACCACATTATGTAGGTTTGTACCCAGGAGCGATGGGCTACTCCACAGAGCCTAAGTCTGCAGTAGATACACCCTGAAGATCTGCGTAAAGACAATCCATAATGTTCCCAAGATGATGAAAGTGCTCAATGATGTATTTCTTTTTTTTTCTTTTTCTTTAAGACAGACTTTCAGTACATCGCCCTCAGTAGAGTGCCATGACAATCACAGGTCACAGCAACCTCAAACTCCCAGACTCAAGCGATTCTCTTGCCATAGCCTCCCAAGCAGCCGGGACCACAGGTGCCCACCACAAGGCCCAGCCACTCTTTGTTGCAGTTATCATTGTTGTTCAGCAGGCCCGGGCCAGGCTCAAACTCACCAGCCCAGGTATATGTGGCCAGCGCCCTACTCACTGAGCCAAGGGCACCAAGCCCTCAATGATGTATTTCTCAGAACACATCCCTGTTGTTAAGTGAGGTGTGACCATATAGTTATTTTCTACTGCTGTTTCTTTGTTTAGTTAGAGACCGGGTCTCACTCTGTCACCCAGGCTGCAGTTCAGTGGTACAATCATAACTCACTGCAGCCTCAAACTCACGGGCTCAAGACATCCTCCCTGCCTGGGACTATAGGTACATACCACCACACCTGGCTACTTTCTTTATTTTGTGTAGACACAAGGTCTCAGTTTGTTACCCAGGCTGGTCTTGAACTCCTGGCCTAAAGTGATCTTCCCACTTTAGCCTCCCAAAGCCCTGGGATTACAGGTCTGAGCCACTGGGTCAGGCATTTTTTTTTTCTTTTCTTTGACACAGAGTCTCACTTTGTTGCAGTAGCATCATAGCTCACAGCAACCTCAAACTCCTAGGCTCAAGTGATCCACTTGCCTCAGCCTACTACAACGTCTGGCTATTTCTTAGACGTGGCCTCATGCTCTTGCTCAGGGTGGTCTCAAACTCATGAACTCAGGTAATCCACCTACCTCGGCCTCCAAGAATGTTAGGATTACAGGCATTAACCACTGTACCTGGCCTTTTTCTTTTGGGGGGACAGAGTCTCACTCTGCTGCCCAGGCTAGAGTGCTGTGGCATCAGCCTAGCTCACAGGAACTCAAATTTCTGGGTTCTAATGATCCTCCTACTTCAGCCTCCTGAGTAGCTGGGACTACAGGCACCTCTACAACACCTGGCTAATTGGCTAATTTTTCTTTTCTTAGTAGAGACAGAGTCTTGCTTGAACTCCTGAACCCAAGGAATCCTCCCACCTCAACCTCCCACAGTGCTAGGATTACAAGTGAGAGCTACCTCATCCAGCCTAGAGATAATTGACTGGGTGTGGGGGCCGATGCCTATAATCCTAGCACTCTGGGATGCAGAGGAAGTGGATTGCTTGAGCTCAGGAGTTTGAGACCAGCCCGAGCAAGAACAAGACCCAACTCTGTCTCTAAAAAAACATGCAGGTGTTATGGCGCATACCTGTAGTCCCAGCTACTCCAGGGGCTGAGCCAGAAAGATTGCTTAAACCCGAGAGTTTGAGATTACTGTGAACTATGACACCACAACACTCTACCCAAAGGCAACAAAGTGAGACTCTATCTCAAAAAAAACAAAAAATAGGCTCTTGGCACCTGTAGCTCAAGTAGCTAAGGCACCAGCCACATACACCAGAGCTGGTGAGTTCGAATCCAGCCCGGCCTGCCAAACAACGACAACTACAACCAAAAAATAGCCAGGTATTGTGGCGGGCGCCTATAGTCCCAGCTACTTGGGAGGCTGAGGAAAGAGAATCGCTTAAGCCCAGGAATTGGAGGTTGCTATGAGCTGTGATGCCACAGTAATCTACCCAGGGTGATAGCTTGAGGCTCTGTCTCAAAAATAAAATACAATAAAATAAAGAAATTAATTAATTAATACACAAATAAAGAAAAAACTGGCTCACTGCCTGTAGCACAGGAGTTACAGCCACATACATCAAGGCTGAAGGGTTTGAACCTGGCCGGGCCAGCTAATACAACAATGATAACTGTAATAAAAAATAGCTAGGGGCTCGGCGCCTGTGGCTCAAGCGGCTAAGGCGCCAGCTACATACACCTAAGGTGGCAGGTTCGAATCCCCAGCCCGGGCCCGCCAAACAACAATGATGGCTGCAACCAAAAAATGGCCAGGTATTGT